AATTGGAGAGACAAATCTATGTACTCAACAATCCTGAAATTATGCCTCTCAATCACACTCTACCTCTGTGGTGTGAAAGGAGCAAGAGAATTTTCTCTAATCGAAGTATGGACGAAGACACCCTCATTAAAAGCATTGCACAAACAATGCGAGATAGACTTGCTTCGACCAAATTCAAGTTCTCTGCTCAAAATCATCAACTTGCACAGAAATGTAACCTTCCAAGTAGTTGCCTAAGGCTGCATTCCATTATCCTCACATTCGCATTGTATCCGTCTTATGCAACATTAGCTCCACTGGCTTCTTGTCACATCTTGTATATGGAACATTGGAAAGGGAGGATTCTATTGGAAGTGTGGGCTCATGGCCTATACTGCCATAGGAATCCAACCCTCTAGTGTTATATCCACTATTGTTTTGTGTTTTGTATTTTGTGTTTTGTGTTTACCTCCTTTGGGTCGCTATAATGGATACAGTCCAATGTATTTGCTAGGCTACTGACATGCTACAAAAAGATAAAACATAATATAGCACATTCAAACTCAATTGAAATGGGATTAAAAGCAATTTTGATCCCTAAAGTATGCATGTTTTGTAAGTTTAGTTCTCATTATATCAATTTTGTCAATTTGATCCCTAAAGTATTCAATCCGTGTCCATCCGTCAAAATTTTTGATGGAATTGATAATGTGTCATTTTTTTAGACGGTATTACATGCCCAACACCTGATTATTCCATCAAAAACTTAACAGTCCGTCTATATAGGGACTAAAATAACACGAATTAAATACTTTACGGACTAAATCGACAAAATTAATACAATGAAGAATAAATTATTAAAAAATACATATTTTAAGAATCAAAAATACCATTAACCCTTTGAAATGTTGAATCTTACTTGATGGATTCTCATGTTTCTTATCCATTAGTTAGGAGATTGATATTTGCATTTTCTCGTTAAACTAGAATTTATCGGCTCCGGTTCCTCTCCATTTCTACTAGAAGTGGGAGATCTTCCATTACTTTCTACTATTAACACCCCTGTTCTATTAATTTTTGTATGGCTGAGATTTAGCTATATTCTTAACTAATCATTTTTACTTTCATGCATCTTTTTCTCAATGAAGCGACGGAATGTTCAGTCTGTAAAATATACTATTGTTGCATAAATTATGATTTAATTGTGATATTGAAAAACTAGTTATTGTCTGTGTCAGAAGACACATAGTAATAAAAAATAATAAACAATAAATATATTTGTATTTATATCCAAAACTAAATCACAAACATAGAGAAGAGATAAATAAAATTAAGCATCGGTTATAGTGAGGTGAGAGGTGGTGGGCGACAGTGGTGGTGGTGGTGGCAGCGACGACGATGGTGGCAGTGGTGGTAGCAGCGATGACGGTGGTGGTGGTAGAGGTAGTAGTGGAGCGGTTTCAAACACTATTTTTTTTAAAGTACTTATGAGAAATAATTTCTAAAAATACTTTTAAAAAATCACTTTAAACACACCCTTAGAGCCCTATTTTTCCTATTAAATTTAGGATGTTAATATTAGTCGTTAGATTAGCTTTAAAGCAAAATTTAAAGTGATTTGAACCGCGAAAAGCAAAAGTCAGTTTGTTTATCTTTTGAAATTTGAATTGTAAGCTATTTTATTATATAAACTAGTTATTGCCTGTGCCTGATGACACAAAGTAAAAAAAAATGATAAATAATAAACATATTTGTATTCATATTTAAAATCAAATCACAAATATAAATAAGATATAACGAATTTAAGCATCAGTTTTTAGTGGGGTGAGAGATGGTGGACGACAGTGGTGGTGGTAGGAGACGGTGATTGTTGTGATGGGTGGCAATGACCCTGGCGGCGGCAACGGTGGCAACGACAGCGACAGCAACAGCGGTGATGGTGGCGGTGATGGTGGTGATAGTGGTGGGAGTGGAGGCGATGGTGGTGGCGATGATGGACGCGGTGGGGGTGACGGCAGTGGTGGTGCGGCGGCAGGGCAGGGGAGGGGGTGGCGGTGGCGGTGGCGGTGGTGGTGGTGGTGGGGGGGGGGGGGGTGGTAATGGTGGTGGCGATGGTGGTGGTTGCGGCGACAGTGGCGGTAGTTGTGGCGATGGCAGTGGTGGTAGAGGTAGTGGTAAGACGGTTTTAAACACTATTTTTTTTTTAAGTATTTATGAGTATTTTTAAAAAGTCATTCCAAACACACCCTTAGGAGCCTATTTTTTCTCTTAAATTTAAGGTATTAATATTAAGCGTTAGATTAACTTTAAAGTAAAATTTAAAACGATCTCAACCGAGAATAGTAAAATTCATTTTATTTATCTTTTGAGATTTGAATTGTAAGCTACTTTATTATATAAATATATTTTTAGTACGGTAATAATATATTTTTTTCGTCCATTGAAATCATGTTAGGTCTACATTTTAATTTATTTATTTAATTCACTATTTTCCCCCTTTTGTTACTCTCTCTATCTATCCTATCTATCTATCTAGGTAACAAATAATTTAGAGGTGAGAAGGCTTGATAAGTCTCTCGTCCCTATTTTCTAAATTTTTATATTTTATGATATTAAATTAAAGTGTCTTCCAATCAGTTATTGCAAATAACAATACTAAGCCTGAAATAAAAAGAAAAACTGCAGCAAAATAGATGGATCGAACTGTTGACTTCTAGCCTGCATGAATTGTATTGTTGCTTGAGTTCATTTCATAATTGTCAATTGGCATGGAAACCAAATAGTAGTTGATCAAAAAAATAATTAAGTAATGTAAAATAAAAAAAATTAAACGACAAAAGGAAATACAATATCAAAACTTATTTTTTTAATACCGTAATTAAATCTTAAATTTATAATTCATGGAAAAACAGTATGTTTGGCTAAGCGTACAATTTGGGTTAGGCAAGAGTTTTTAATACTTGAGTTGAGTTTGGACCAAAAAATTCTAACCCGAATTCAATTTGGGTTGGGTTCAAATTAAGGCCTCGGGTTCAACCTGAACCCGACATATTAAAAAAAATTATATATAATTTTCAATTTTGTTCTATTGTTTTCTGTCTCTCTCGTTCATTTTCATTTTTGTTCTATCATTAACACAGTTAAAAACATGGTTGACGTTATTGGTTGTTAATTTAAGTGAATATTATGTAATATGTGTACTAGGTTTAGAACAACAAGCATATTTTGGGCTCTACCCGAACTCAACCCGAATTGAACCCGTAAAGTAACTTGAAATCAACCCGAAATTAGCCCGAAACCATTAACCCAAATTCAACCCAAGTCCACCCGAATTAAACTCGAGCAGTGCTCAGGTTGAAGTTTCTCAATCCGAGGTAGGGTTAGGGTTAGGGTTAGAATTAAAGATTATATATTTAGGGTTAGATTATAATTGACTGTCCAATCCGTCCGAGTTACACCACTATATTTGACAAATGGAATGCTCCAGCACTTTGTTGAGAGCAAGAGAGGTATGTGAGCTGGGCTTTGAAGCTGAAGAATTTGAAAGCCTTGGGTTGGCTTAATTTTACACTGTTGAGATCTTATGTTATGTGCCAATGAGATAAATTATACTTAAAAATAGTAGGGCATAGTGACCGGCCCGGCCTATACCAGACCTAGAATTACAGATTAGACTAAAAATTACAGATCAAGCCTAACTTAGAGGGATGTAGGCCAAGTCCACCATAAGAGGGAGGAAGTTAGGTCAGGTTAACCATGTTATCTTGAGAGAGTTAGGTCAACCGTTTTATGGCGAGAGACTCAGTCCACAACTGACATGTGAAGTGATCTCCTTAGGACGTGCATGTCACCTCGTCTATGGAATTGTCTCGCTTGTTACGAGAAAGACACCTCAATCTATTAAGAGATGTCTATAAATTATAAGTCTCACCTACACAAGGGGACATCTCTCACATCTAAGCACTATATACTCCATGAAAAATAAAACACTCAAGTCATCCTAACTCTTCACAACGTAGTAGATCACCTTAAATGAACTACTTAAATTGTGTTTTGCTTGTGTTGACTTTAATTATTTATTATTGCATTTAATACTTGACAGGTGACGCATAAACACGTTTTGTGCATCATCAAGTATTATACTTCAATTACCAAAAAAAATAAAAATTAAAGAAAATAAAGAAGGCTAGAATTGGGATTAAATGGACAATGGCACCTTGATGCTATTTTGGAAGCGTCAATCAACATTATTCAATGATTTTGGTCCTCTCTATTTTTATTGTTGTCGATTTTTGATCATGTCCAATCTATCGTCGAATATTGAATTTCATTTGTGAGTTTCAACATACACGGGATCCTTATAGAATGGGTGTTTGACGTCGTAAGAATTTTAAAATTCCATGGAGCAAATCCAAATATTGGAATGCCTTCTTCCACAGCATCAAGCCAAAATAAATTTAGAATCAACAATGATGGATTACAGATAAATAACTATGTGGTGAGCCAGTTCCGCATCACTTGGTGAAGTTAGAAATGTATGTAAAATTTTCGATAAGCGTGCAATTATTTATAACTCTATGATTTTATTCCCAAACAGATAGTATTATACATTACGAGTCTACGGATCTAACAACATATAAGGAGAAAGAAGCCTTCTTGAGAAATCTTTTTCTTCTTGGAATGTAATGGGGTGGCAAGAAAGGACTCTCCATGCAAAGCATATAATTTGAAAGAGTACAATAAAAACAAAGAACTTTCACTTTGCCCATGCAGGAAGTGACCAACTCTACAACCCATAAGTTTTCTAAAAACATAAAGGATATTTGAAGACTTGAAACAAACGAAAGATCCAAACACAAAGAAAACATGTGAAAAAAGGTATATCCAACTTCAAAGAAAAAGTACAGAAGCTTAAAATTAAAGGACCTTTCAATCCTCAATTCAGTATCCATACATATATAGACCCAACAAACCCACCATATTTTTCTAATTCAGAAGATACCCAAGAAAGCCTAATTAACCACAAAATAGACAAAGGATTGAATGGAGGCAAAGCTTAGAGATATAGCAACTGACAAGGTTTATGAAGAATTTGAACCAGTAACAGAATGGGTACATGAGGAAGATTGTGACACCCTTCTTCTTTGTCTACCTGGTGTGGTCCTTATTCCCTTTCTTCAATTTTTATTAGTTAAGTGCTTGTTTTGATATGATCGAAATATCCATGTTTCAGAATAATTATGTCACGCTATTTGTCAATCATAAATGACAAGTGGGGTACATCTTTTTTAGGGAAAAATAATAATAATTTTGTTAATTTCGAATTAGTAATGCTATATTGACTAAATTTTGAGATCAAATTTAGAGCCCAAATGACATGACAGTTGATTTGGACTTCTTTGATTGATGTCATGTCATTTGAGTCCTAATAAAAACTTTAAATAATCAACTGTCATGTCATTAAGGCTCTAAATTTAGTCACAAAATTTGATCAGTGTAACATTACTCATTTCGGCGAGATAAATTTTAAAGTCTCCTCCTCCCATTGTCCAAAAAATATAGAATGTGTTTTTGGCCGATTCGTGTGCCACCCTATTTCCAGCTTTTGTAACAACAGTAGAACCAAAATTTCTGAAAACATATAAAAAATTCTAATATTTCAGACACAATAACATCTAATGGGATAAAGTGTTATGATTTCTGCATCATTTCTCTAATGGGATCAAGTGATAGATAATTGAAAACTCCTCTTCATTTCTGAAAAGCATCCTGCGGGGGTATGTATGAGAAATATCCAATGCATGAGATTCTAAAATTAGGGTACAAACTGCATTATTAAAGTTAAAAATCTAATTGAATCTCATATTGGTAAAGCCAAATAAAAAACCATTTAATTCTACAATAATTCATTCTATACTAGATCAAGAAATTAGAAAAGAAGAATAAAGAAGACATTTTTTTTCTTACAATGCTAAAATAATTTTTATTGTGTCAAAATCAGGTTATCCATTTTTTACGTCATTCGTGTTAATTGATTGTGTCTTTTTCGAGTCCATTTCGTGGCAAGTTTGTTCCTTTTAACGTGTCGTTTCTAAAATTATTGTCCCCATTTATGCTTTAGTATTTAATTAGCAGCACAACTACCCCTACAGTCTTTACTTAAACCCCCCCACCCCCACCCTCGACAAAAAAAAAAAAAAAAACTGAACCCTACAGATTTCAAGAAGGAGCAACTGAAGGCCCAACTAACCTCAACTCGAAGCCTAATTATCAGTGGAGAACGTCAAGTTGGAGGCAACAAATGGAGTCGCTTCAAGAAACAAATACCCATTTCAACAAACTGTGACGCCCAGAAAATCAGTGCAAGGTTCGATGGCAGCATACTTTATGTTAAACAACCAAAACTGATCACTCCAGCAGAAAATAAAGACAAAGCAAAGCCAGCCATTGAAGCTCCAGAACCTCGAAAACCCGAAAATGATCAGCCAAAACCCCAAAAGAATGATCAAGAACAAGATGGACAAAAAACTGCTTCAATGGTTGATCTGGCCAGGCGGACAAATGAAAAGCCTAATGAGTTAGACACTGCCAAAATGGTTGCTGAGAAGAGAAATGGATCAGTGGATTCAAAAATTGTTTCCGAGAAGGCGCCAGAGAGGGAGGAGACTAATCCTGAAAATGCACCAGAAAAGGCTATAGAAAAGGAAAAAAATAGTAGTACACCTCAAGATCAAAAGGTATCAAGAGATACAAGTGAAAAACACGAAAATGGTTCGGCCAATGATGGCGCAAGGAGGGAGGAAGGAGCCTATGGAAAGAAGGCCGATAGTGGAAAGGCTAGACTAGAGGATGCAAAATTGAAGAAGATTAAGAGAGTGATGAACATGGTTCTGGTAATTCTATTTGCTCTTTTACTTGGACTGTACTTGACAAATTTGTTTAGGTCTTGGAAGAAAGGTGAGAATTAATGAGGCTGATCATAATGTACTGTGATGAACATTTGATGGTGGGGAACAATTATTTGTCAATTTATTGAATAAAAAGACTTGCAGAATTGAAGACCTGTAACACATTAACCAAATTTGGCCCTCTTTGATTTGATAAATTATGGGTTTCAACAATTATATTAGTAGGCAACACCAAAATATGGGAATATCGAGCAATCCTATTAGCATTTAATTTATTGATCTAATTTACTATAGCCGCTAAATTAATTGTGAATCTCATCAAACATTAGAACTTATTGTTAACCCAACGATTAAAATGAAACAACATTATTAGATCAGTAGATTAAATCAAAATTTTAAATCCTAATAACATTAATCTTTACATTTTTGCGATAAATAAATTAATTTTATTTTCAAAAAACTGATGTTTATAATGACCATCAAAATATAGCGAACTAAAAGAGTTTTCTCCCCCTAAAATAGGTTTTTAAACCAGTAACCGGGTCTTTAACCAAAGGGAGTATTTAACCTTTATTACTATATTCGACATAAGTTTTTTTTTCATGCAACCGTGCAACTCAGCCGAACCTAGGTCCAATTTTTCCGAGTCCATGTCTCAACCACCAAGAATGATGTTTGATTTAAAAACAAGGACACACACCCACACTCAAATTAAATGCCCACAAATGTGATGTTTGATCCTCCTTGAGCCGATGAATTTTGTTATTGATGCTTGTTTGCTGATCTTATAATTGGTTACTGTTGTTCATGTTGTCTAGTTGATTAGATCCTTCCCTCCTCCTTTGCCTGGTTTTTTGTGCGATATTGATCACCATGCAACAATCATGCTTTCATTGTTGGATATTGTTGTTGGCTCTACTGGTTTTGTTGTTTGTTACTGTTATGCTACTACTTGGCTAGTGTAGGGAAATGTGAAGAGAAACGACTCGTCTTCAATCTTGCTTAGACCATCAATGGCTTTTTGAAATGAGGTCTTTTGTAATTTTTTGAGAGTGTCACAAAAATCAGTCCTGATTGATGCTCAATCAACACAGCATTAAGCGGCCGTGATACTTATTTGTTGGCTACTTGTTGGTTTGATGCTAATGCATTTGTTGGTTGTTGCCTAGCTATTTTGCTTGGTTTATGCCGAAAGTGTTCTTGCCCTAGAGATGTCTTTACCTTGTGCATATTATGTAGCTTTTGTTGACTTAATGATTTCTGTCTGAGATGAGTGTTCTTCTATCTTTGTCTAAAAGACCTTCCATTTCTTACCCATTCTCTTTTCTTTTGGGTACAGTTATACCTTTTGTATGTATGTTTCGGCTAACAAATTAATCTTATAGAAAGAAAATTTGCATTTTAAAAATTTTCAATTAAGAGTCATGGAGTTGAGCCTTGTTCATGGTAAGGATTGGTTTCTTATGCTCCTCTTTGGTGGTTTTATTGTGCATTTCTTTTAGTTACCTCTCTATAATAATTATTTGTTTATTATAATAGTAATTCATCTATTTATATTAAAAAAAAACACAGTGTATATTTAAGTTGGTCAAACCACTTTCAAGTAGTTGACAAAGATTAGGAGACAAATATCTCTATCACCAAAAATAAGGAGGCAAATATCTCCGAACACCACTCAAGATGGAATAAGTGGCTCATGTACAATAAGTATTTTAATCACTCAATTATGTTTTAATCACAGTAAAAAAATAAGGGAGAATTACATTAGGAACTCCTGAAGTTTGTCACTTAATCATTCAGAACCCTTGATATTTAAAATATTATACACAGACCCCCTAAAGTTTGTACGCGCATAACACTTAGACCCCTGATGTAAATATATCATTTAATAAATTATACTTAGACCCTCCTAAAGTTTGTAAATATATAATACTTAGACCCTTTGAGTTTAAAATATTATACTTATACCAAAAATACTTCATTCAAGTATAGAATATCAAATATTTTAAATTTTACAACAAAAATTCATATTCTATTTTATCATTTATTGAAATAAAATAAAAATAAAAATTTATTTTTTCTTTAAAAATTGTAATTATTGTACAATTATACTATTTATTGGAATAAAACTAAAAAATCAAACAATGAGTCAAATTGTAATGGACACAATATCTTTTAGCTTTAATTGGGGTAGTTTGGTATTTAATTTGATTGTTTAAACGACCAAATTAAATTCTAATAGACAATATAATTATAAACTAATTATGATTTTTTAAGAAAAAAGTTGAATTTTTATTTTTTATTTTATTTCAATAAATGATACAATAGAACATAAATTTTAGTTGTAAAATTTAAAATATTTGATACTTTATCTTTGATTGAAATATTTTTTGTTTAAGTATAATATTTTAAACTTAAGGGATCTAAGTATTATATACTTACAAACTTTAGGAGGGTCTAAGTGTAATTTATTAAATAATATATTTACATTAGGTTCTAAGTGTTACACGCGCACAAATTTTAGGGGGTCTGTGTGTAATATTTTAAATGTCAGGGGGTCTGAGTGATTAAATGACAAACCTCAGGGGGTCCTAATGTAATTCTCCCAAAAATTAATGCATTACATGGTGCAATAATCTATATAATAAAGTAGCTTACAATTCAAATCTTAAAAGATAAACCAAATGAATTTTGCTATTCACGGTTGAAATTGTTTTAAATTTTACTTTAAAATTAATTTAACGGCTATTATTAACACTTTAAATTTAATAGGAAAAATAGACTTTTAATGATGTGTTTGCAGTGACTTTTTAAAAGTATTTTTAAAAAGTATTTTTTTATAAATACTTTTTAAAAAAATAGTATTTGAAACTGCCCTACTACAACCTCTACCACCACAACCACCGTCGTCGCCGCCATAACAACCACTGTCGCCACCCCCACCGCCACCACTACAGCCACCACCACCCCCTCGCCCCACTACCGCCATCACCACCGCCGTCGCCACCACTACTGCCACCACCACCACCTACACCATCGCCGCCTCCACCCCCATTACTGTCGTTGTCGCCACCATGACCCCTACCGCCACCACCACCACCACCACCTTCACGACCCCCACCGTCACTACCACCACCACTACCGCCACCACCACCACTATCACTACGATCATTGCCACCCACCACAACCATCATCGTCTCCTACCACCATTTCTGGCGCCCACCACTTCTCACCTCTATTACAGACTGATACTTAAATTCTTTTATCTCTTCTTTGTATTTGTGATTTAATTTTGAATATGAATACAAATATGTTTATTATTTACCATTTTTTATTATTATGTGTCTTCAGACACAGACAATAACTAGTTCATAAATATGGTATAAACCAAAGGCTTAACCATCAATATGAATCATATCTTATGATGCTAATAGCTATGATGATATGAATTATATAGGAAGGGTAACTAGTGCATGATCTTTCCACCATTGTGGGGTGTAGAAAGGGTCGTAAGTATGTAATCTTACACCCACATACAAAAAATAAATTTTCGTCACTCAAACAAGTTCTATTGTCTTAATATTAGAACTAAATTTTCATGCTTGGGCAAAAATAAACTCTTTTTTGAGTCATCTAGAAGGGAAAATATGCGTTTTCTAAAAAGGCTTGTCTCTTTCTCATAATTTTTTTATAAGATTGCAATATGGATTTGTTATTTAGAACAATAGAGAAGACAAACTAGAACTTTATTCGATTTGATTACATATTCAAATATGACAACATCAATTCGGCGTACTTGTACCTATTTTGTGGGTGGCATTGAAGTTGCTTGAGCAAAGAGATTGTTGTGGCTTGGGAAAACATAAAACAAAAAAGAGGAGACACCAAGAAACACCATTTTTTTTTTTGGGTAAAATGCCAAAAGAAAAACTCCTGTACTTATGATCATTTGCAAGCGACCTCATTGTTGTTTAAACCGTTGCACTAAACCACCCTGAATTATGATTTTTTTTATTTGCAAAAATTGATGGATGTTAAAATTTTATAGGTGAGTATAACTCATGCGCTAAATACATGAGTAAGACATTATATCTCCCAAATTTATAACCTAAAATTTCCAAATTGCCCTTGTTTATCCTCTTTTCCTTCTTCGCTCTTTCTCTCATTCACCAGACACCCATTTCTCTCTCTCTCTCTCTCTCTCTCTCTCTCTCTCCCTCTCTCTCGATTTTGGGTGTTGGGCATATTGGGTTTCCTCTTCTTCTACCTATTGGTTTTGGGTTTTGGATATTAGGTATATTGGGTGGAGCAATGCTATATGGACTTCAAAAGTAAACTTAAAATGTGTCCTTGATAATCACAACCATTAATTTTACTGTGGGTCCTAGCATTTATTGGGATCCACTAACTATTTAATGGTTGTAATTATCAAGTACACTTTTTAAGTCCAAGTAGCATTTTCCTATTGGGTTTTCTCTGCTTCTTCCTCTTGGTTATGCGGATAAGTAATGTTACATGAACTTAAAAAGTAGACTTAATAATCACAACCATTGAATAGGTAGTGAGTCTAATAAATGTTATGACCTGTAGTAAAATCAATTATTGTAATTATCAAATCTACTTTTTAAGTTTATGTCTCATTGCTCTTTTGGTATTGAGTATTGGGTATATTGGGTTTGTTTAGCTTCATTGTGTGTGTGTGTGTGCTCGACACAGAAAGAGAGAGAGAATAGTGATTTGAGTGAGAGAAACAGAGTTTTTGTGGTAGTATTAGAGAAAGTGGGAAAGAGCTTGGATGAGCAACTTGAGAGACACCTACACAGAGCATGGACCATGGAGACGAAAAGAAGCAACACGTCTCTGACTTTGCCACCACCGTGACCGCGGCCACCATCAGGCATAGACAAGAGTGGGAGAATGAACTACTTGCCTTCCTTAGTTTTCTTAGTCATTTTGTTCTTTTCCTTCATTTTTTTGGTTGATTTATTCAACTAATTATGATATTTGTACTTTGCTACTGCCATTATTGAAAAAAGAGCAATTTGTGATACCTATTTTCATTTTCTTTGCCCTCCAGCGACAATATTAGTTCATTGCCCAAAAGTACTAGAGGCGATAACATATTTTGCAAAAAAAAATAATTTAGTGATGATTAT